AAAAAATGTTAAGTTACCATTTTAATCTTTTAAAATTAGTCAAAATTATTGTCAGGATCAATTATTTGGTCAATTAATGGTCAAACTAACAGTTTTCATCCATTTGGACTTTAGTTGCGAGTTTTTAAAATGTTTGGTACCGTGGATGCAACAAAGTAAATGTTTGGGTCAAATCCATATAAAAATGAAAGGTTTGGTACTATTACTACAATTTTCCCTTGAATTAAACCCTAGCCTTCTTTAGCGACAGCTCCTATTGAATGTCCAGTAGCCCAAATCTAGCTAGGGTTCCATCGAGGAAATTGTGATAGATGGCCGATTGACCCGACCACTTTTCCATAATGGCCTTTGACCAAATTTAAGTAAAAGAAAAAAAAAAGTAAAAAATTTAGGGAAATGACAATACTCATTTTATTTCCATTTTGAATGGGGATGGCAATGGGGCGGGTATGAGACAAGTTGACCATCCCCGCCCCATTTCATCGGATATTTTTGTTACCTTACCCCATCCACATACTCGTTTAAAGCGGGACGGGGCGGACCTTCCTCATTTATCCCGCCATTTATTTTTTATTTTTATTTATTTTATTTTTTGCTTTTATTTTTTATGTTTTTACTCAATAAATATTATTATTTACTTACCAATTTGTTAGGAATAACTTAGTTCTATTTAAAAATATGTTAAATATATTATTTTTGTTTGATAAAAAATTTAAATTTAAAATTAACTTTAAATGGGACAGGTGGCGAGCCGGGGGACTATGATTTCTGTACCCTACCTCGTACTTGCTTCGGGGCAATGACCCTTGCCCAGTTTACTCAATAAGGCAGGTAGTCCCCGCCCCTTTTGGGGTGGGGCTCCACAGGTTTCAGGTTGAACGATTTTTTTTGCCATCCCTAATTTTGAACGTTGAGAATTTGAAAATCTTATCATTTCTTGTTTTCAATATTTATTCATCTTCTCCATCTCCATCGTCATTTTTCAAGGTTTTTTCATCCATCTCCATATTCACGATTTCTTCATACTATTTGGTTCAATTCGATTTTTTTGCTTATAATATTGTTGGATAATGTGTTTTTAGCTTTAATATTTAAAGATTTAAACAAAAAATTCTTTTATTATATTGAAAAAAAATCCAAATTTGTGAAAAAATTACAACAAATTTGTTATATGTTAACAACGTCGGGGGGCCCGAATGGTCTAGAATTCGGGTGGTCCATGGTCCGAGTGGTCCGGGCTCAGCTCCGGCTGGTCCGGGTCGAGGTTTTGGGAGGGGGGATCCCACTTTTTAATTTTGAATGAGGGGTATGTTTGTCTTTTAATGTTAAAAGAGGTCATTGTGGTGAATGCTTAACTTACAACCTGTCTGGCAAAAATTTTAATCAGATTTTTAGCAAA